GTGTCCATCAGCCTGTGGGTCCAGGGGCAGCTGGGGGATTAGGAAGGGAGAAGGGGGCAGTGCCAGGAGGGAGGGAGGGACAGTGGCTGCAGGAGGTGAGATGCAGATTCAGGAGAGAGGGAAAAGCAGGGAATCCGAGCCAGAGGTCACCAGAGGAAGCACAGACCCTCTGTGAACCCCAGGCACAGAGACGGTGGTGGGGGCAGGAGGCTAGGAGGATTGCGTTGGGGGGACACAATGTTGGAGTCCCTATAGTTAGTGGGATGGGGCTCAAGTCATTTTCTTGAGTGTCAGGCATTCCAGGTAGACAGCCAGAAGGGAGGCGTGGATGTGGATCTTCTCTTCTTGGGGACATAGCGGCAAGATCTAGCCAGGGCCCAGCACAGCCCGGTAATTTAGGAAGCAGGGGCTCTCTGAGGCCCCCTCAGCTCAGCTCACTGCCTCTGGGATTTCTGTATGCATGGGGAAGGTTACTGTTTTTGTTTGTTTGTTTGGTTTTTGTTTGTTTGTTTGTTTGAGTGAGTGATGGAGATGGAGCTAGAACCAAAGCCAAGCCCAGAACATGTCTTGAGCTTTCAAAACACCATTCTCTTTAAAATCATCTGAAAGCCAAGAGCTGGGAGCTGGATGCTTTCTGGACCTCCTAGACACAGCAGGAGCCCAGTGAGAGGATCTGGCTGCTCCCACCCGGAGACCCCAGAGAAGCCTGGCATGGAAAGCAAGCTTCATGTTGCCGGGAATGCTTGGAGTTTTCCTGACTAGGTCCTGGGCTGAGTGTGGGCTGGGGTGGAGCCCTGCCTGGAATTAGCGACGCACCCCGAGATCTTGGGACCGGCCTGCGTGGTGGCAGTGAGGCCGACCGAGGACATTTCCCTCCAGTCCTCTCCAGTCTTGGCCCAGAGAACCAAGGCTCAGGGCTTGTCTGGCTGAACCTCGTTTTTATCCCAGCCCAGTAACCCTTCGTCAGTGGGTCCTGGGGAAAAGGGCCTGGCTTGGCTCACCCTTGAGGAATGTTTGCCAAACGTGTTAGTTGCCACTAAAAGCTTGTAAACTAGGGTGCAGGATGCCACGGGGCCTGGGCTGGCCAGAGGATACACTCTTTAGAAGTTCCAGAAGTTCTCTGCCCGTTGGGAGGGAGGAATGTCCCTACAGAATCCGAGGCAAGCCCGTGCTGGGGCCGGGCCAGCTTTCCCTCTGGCGGGCCCCTCTGCTCTGGGGGAGCTGTGTGTTCCCTTCTCCTCTGGCAGCTTGGGAAAGACCAGAGGCCCTTTCAGGGAAAGGAGAAAGAGGAAGCGGGCTTGAAAAAAGCGGCAGTGAAAGCCTAATTCTGAGCTTCAGCTGGAACCTAGGCCTGGAGTACAAATGCATTTTCTACTCAGGAGAACGTGGAGTGTTCAAAGAGGTTGTTTTGGGAACTGTAGAGCCTCACAGCCTTGGTGTGAGGAGAATCTTAGAGACCAGCTAATATAGGCAACCCCCCCCCCCCCATTTTGCTGGAAGGCTAATTTGAAACAGAATGGAATTTGGCAGGGGCTGGGATGCCTTTTTTCTTCGGAGGCCCCATTTCCCGAGTGTCCTAGAGGAGCTGATTTCACCCATTCACTCCTTGCGTTCCTTGGTGCATTTTAAAGAAAACTCAGAGGTCTAATCTGGCTTCTTTCAAAGTAACAGAGTTTGTGGCTTGCAGGGTGTTTTCAGTTTGGAGCCATAATTTCTGTTTGTTCATCTGAAATGATCGCTTACCACAGGCTTATTGCCAGGTTTCCCTTTGCACGTTATCAGGCTGGGCTTGTGAATGGCTGAGGGAAGCCAGAAACAGGAAAACTCAGGAAAAGCCTGTACTAAGGCAGGGGCTGGTGTGGTCCAGGAGGGTTGGAAGGTCGAGGTCGTGGTCAGCGGGCCTGTGGTTAAGGGTGAACATCTGAGCGGCCTCACGGGGAGCCTCACTGCTGAGAGACCTGGGATAGGCATGTGTGCAGGGCTGTGGGAGGGCTCGGGCCCACAGTGGAAGCAGATAAGGCTGCCTTAGGAAGAAGGCACCTGGGCTGGTCAGGGAGGGCTCTGGAAGCCTAGGGAAGAGCAGACCTAGATGAGGGGGCAGCCAGCCTAGCAGAAAAAGAGCAAAGGGAGAGAGAGAGCAAGTGGCACTGAGTGAGGTGGGGCCTGAACTAAATTATAAAATTTGGGAGGGGCCCAGGAGGCTGCCAACTATGATCTCATTTTCTGGACAGGCCTTCGGGTTACTTCTTAAACCCGCCCCCCAATCACCAGAGAGTCAGCGCCTTCTGATAGAAGCAGCTCTTGATGCGTTGAGACGTACACAGCTGGACTTGGGGGCAGCACACGCTGGGTGGGGGCTGGGGCGAGGACATACATATGCTGGTGGAGGAGAGGAAGGTCTTCCTGGGAGGTGGGGTGGGGGAGCGGACAGGGTCCGGTGGGGGGGGGGACAGTGTCTGTCTCGCTCCCACTGTGCCCCCAGCGCCCAGCTCGGGGCCAGGCACAGAAGGCACTCACTAAATCACTGAACGAACTCATGGAGTGCTCTTCTCCTGAATCCCCACGTTACCTGAAATTTTTCTTCTTCGGGATTTAAAGACTAGTGGAGAATATTTGCCTACCTTGTGCTCTCCCCTTCGGGAAGGATCTTCTTACCGTTGGTGTGACAGAGGGCACTGAAACACTGCTTTGGAAAGGATCTCAGCATAAAGACCCTCCACGCAGGGAGGAAGGGAGCCCGGAGGAGGGCCAGGATGACCTCTCAGGGCCCACCTGGCTCTAGGACACGGAGGGTGGACTGAAATTCGCCCAGCTCTGCTGGCCATGGTGGAGGTCAGGGCAAGAGGCTCATCAGCAACCTCCTGAACTGTGACGTGTTCTTCCTGCAGGTGACAGCAGGGATTATGCCCCATCCCAGCAGATGACCAATGGAGGAAAATAAAGTGGAATTTGAACCTTATCTCTGACAAGGTTTAATACCTGGAATTGGGTATTCCAGAAGCTATGGGTTGCCTTCCTTGGACAATTTCAGAGCCCATCTTCCTGGTTATGGAAAGGGCGCTGCCCTGAGAGAGATCTTACCCCTCCTCCCAGTTCTTCTCCCCTAGAAAGCCCCCCAGCCTCTCCCGGGCTTGGTTTTGGAAGTGATCATTAATCCTCTCCCACTGTAAGCACTTCCTGGAAGGGCTTGTTACAGTCTTCCAGGAACAGGGATGGCTGAGATGACCTCTTAAGACCTGCCCACTCAACCGTTTGTGCATCTCAGGAGGATCTAAACATTTCCTTTTCTTCAGAAGCTGTCGGAGTTAACTCCGCGTGGGCGTGGGCTCCTTGTAGCTACACTACCCTCCTTCTAATATTTAAAAGATCTGTGCTGGTTCTTCGGGCCTCCAAATCTTGTATTTATTTTCCTTGGCTCTGTCTGAAAAGGCCACATCGTTTTTTTTCCTCTCCTGAAACCTAGGTCCTCTGGGCTAAACTCAAGTACCTCTCCGCTCTCGAAATGGCTCATTTTCATCCTGCCGTCCCTACCAGATTATTTCTTAAATCGCGCTCCCCCTCCCCCCCGCCACGTGCCGGGTGTTCCGGGACAGAGAAGCCAGGCCGTGGGGACCCCGGCTTTGCCCCTGCGCGAGAAGTTGGGGGGAAGCCTCAGTTTCTCCACGCACACTTTGGGCGGCGGGCGGCAGGCCGAGCGGGCCCGGGGAGGGGACGCGCGGGCGGCGGGGAGCGGGC